TGGTGGCGCATGCCTGTAATCCCAGCTACTCAGGAGGCTGAGGCAGGAGAATTGCCTGAACCCAGGAGGTGGAGGTTGCGGTGAGCCGAGATTGCGCCATTACACTCCAGCCTGGGTAACAAGAGCGAAACTCTGACTCAAAAAAAAAAAAAAAAATGTATAGTAAAAGATGGTGACTGTGTACTATTTAGTAACATGATGGATTAACATTGCTAATGATTTTTTGTGCTAGTAGCTGTCAACTACAAGTAAGTTAAAGAATATTGTTTGTGTAGGTTAAATTTTTATTGTTTTTAATCACTAAAATTTAATTTTGACATAATTTTTTAAAGTTCTGATATTGCTAGTAATGCCAGAGGTTGCATTATATTTGTAGATTATTTTGTGTAATACAAATATTTAACTATTAATAATATCAGTTCATAAATGAGTAATATCTCATTATGTATTAATTTATATAACATTCTTTAGGGTAAAATGTATTGTTGTTATAACCAATATGAAATCTCATCAATATGATTTCTTTTATGGTTAGAAAAGACTTAGGTGTTTTCAAAAGCATTGTCACATCTTCCTGCTTTGTACAGTTTCTCTCCATGTCTTTTAAGAACTGAGGACTAGTTAAAGGCTTTGCCATATTTTTCACATTCATAGGATTTCTCTCCAGTGTGAATTTTTTTATGTTTAGTAAGAATTGAGAACTGGTTAAAGGTATTGTCACATTCTTCACATTTGTCAGGTTTTTCTCCTCTGTGAATCATTTTGTTCAGCATGGTTTGAGGACTGGTTAAAAGCTTTGCCACAGCCGGACGCGGTGGCTCACGCCTGTAATCCCAGCACTTTGGGAGGCCGAGGCGGGTGGATCACGAGGTCAAGAGATCGAGACCATCCTGGTCAACATGGTGAAACCCCGTCTCTACTAAAAATACAAAAAATTAGCTGGGCATGGGGGTGTGTGCCTGTAGTCCCAGCTACTCAGGAGGCTGAGGCAGGAGAATTGCCTGAACCCAGGAGGCGGAGGTTGCCGTGAGTGTGCCATTACCCTCCAGCCTGGGTAACAAGAGCGAAACTCCATCTCAAAAAAAAAAAAAAAAAGGCTTTGCCACACTGTTCACATTTGTAAGTTTTCTCTCCAGTATGAATTATGTTTAGTAGGAGTTGAGGACTGGATAAAGGTTTTACCACATTCGCCACATTTGTAAGATTTTTCTCCAGTATGAGTTATCCTGTGTTTAGTAAGATTTGAGGATTAGTTAAAACCTTTGCCACATTCTTCACATTTGTAGGGTTTCCCTCCAGCATGAATTATCATGTGTAGTAAGGGTTGAAGATTGGTTAAAAGCTTTGCCACATTTTTTTTTTACATGTGTAGGGCTTCTCTCCAGTATAAATTATCTTATGTGCAGTAAGTTTGGGGCACTGGTTAAAAGCTTTGCCGCATTCCTCACATTTATAGGTTTTCCTCTTCAGTATAAATTATGTTTAGTAATAGATGAGAATTTGTTAAAAGCTTTGCCACATTCTATACATTTGTATGATTGCTCTCCTATATGAATTATTTTATGTTTAGTAAGGCATGAGAATCAATAAAAAGCTTTGAGACGTGTAGGACTTCCCTCCAGCATGAATTATCTTAGTGGTCAGGGTTGAGCAGTGGTTAAAACTTTATCACATTCTTGATATTTATATGATTTCTCTCTGGTATGAATTATTTTATGTTTAGTAAGGGTGGAGGACCAATAAAGCCTTTTCCACATTCTTCACATTTGTAGAATTTCTCTCCAGTATGAATAATCTTAAGGTATGAGAATCAATGGAAACCTTTGTCACAGTCTTCACATTTGTAGGATTTCTCTCCAACATGAATTGCCTTATGTGTACTAGGGGTGAGTATCAGTTAACAGCTTTGCCATTCTTCACATTTTATGATTTCTCTCCAGTGTGAATTCTCTTATGTATAGTAAGGTGTGAGTACCTGTTAAAAGCTTTGCCACATTCTTCACATTTGTAAGGTTTTTCTCCACTGTGAATTATTTTATGTCTAGTAAGTATTGAGAGTACCCTAAAGGCTTTGCCACATTCTTCACATTTGTAGGGTTTCTCTCCAGTATGAATACTCTTATGTGTAGTAAGGTGTGAGTACTGTTTAAAATCTTTGCCACATTCTTCACATTTGTAGGGTTTTCTCTCACCATGAATTCTCTTATGTCTAGTAAGGATTGAGAGTACCCTAAAGGCTTTGCCACATTCTTCACATTTGTAGGGTTTCTCTCCAGTATGAATTACCTTGTGGGCAGTAAGTTTTGGGGACCGGTTAAAGGCTTTGCCACATTCTTCACATTTGTAGGGTTTCTCTCCCGTATGAATTACCTTATGATTAGTTAGGATTGAGAGTACCCTAAAGGCTTTGCCACATTCTTCACATTTGTAGGGTTTCTCTCCAGTATGAATTCTTTTATGTGTAGTAAGGTGTGAGGATCTGTAAAAAGCTTTGCCACATTCTTCACATTTGTAGGATTTCTCTCGAGTATGAAATATCTTATGTGATGTAAGGTGTGAGGATAGGTAAAAAGCTTTGCCACATTCTTCACATTTGTAGGGTTTCTCTCCAGTATGAATTCTCCTATGTTTAATAAGAGTTGAGGACCAGTTATAAGCTTTGCCACATTCTTCACATTTGTAGGGTTTCTCTCCAGTATGAATTACCTTATGATTAGTAAGTATTGAGAGTACCCTAAAGGCTTTGCCACATTCTCCACATTTGTAGGGTTTTTCTCCAGTATGAATACTCTTATGTGTAGTAAGGTGTGAGTACTCTTTAAAATCTTTGCCACATTCTTCACATTTGTAGGGTTTTTCTCCACCATGAATTCTCTTATGTCTAGTAAGGTTTGATAATACACTAAAGGCTTTGCCACATTCTTCACAATTGTAGGGCTTCTCTCCAGTATGGATTCTCCTGTGTCTAGTAAAGGTTGAGAACCAGTTAAAGACTTTACCACATTCTTCACATTGGTAAGAATTCTCCCTGGTATGAGTGCTTATATGTTGAGTTAGGTGTAAAAGCCTGCAAAACGATTTGTCACATTTTTTACATTTGAAAGGTTTCTTTCCTGTATATCTTATCTCATGTATATTTGAATTTGAAAATGTATAAAAGGCGTTCATATATTGATCACATTGAAATATTTCACTCTGGGTAGTTGTCAAACACTGGTTTAGTTCATTATAACCTTCTTTGTGCAGATTACACTCATCCACACTTTTACATCCTGTTCTTAACTGTAAATCTTCATGTCCACATTTTCTATATCTTCTCAATATGACTTCTTGGAAAGAATCTTTTATGCCCTGCTCTGGCCAAAGGTCTTGGGCAAAATGAGAGTATATAACTGAAAGAAAAATAAATTGCCCCATTTACTAGACTCAGACAAATATACTTTATAAATCTAACCCATAAAATTATACAAACTACATATACAAGATGGCACAGCAAAATACCAAAGGTCCTAATTTTCTATAGACTTGTTGTAAATGTAACAAAAACATAACAAAAATACATCTGAGGAAAATTTATAAATGAGTGAAGTGTGGGAAGTACCCCAGCTGAACACAACAGAGAGTGACAGACAAGAAAAAGAAAAGTCTGTTACATTTACCCAACACAGCTCTTCCTGCTCCCCAATATAACATAGTGCCTTTCCAAGTAACTGCCAACTTATGGTTTCTTTTTTAAAAGACAAGTAAAATACTGGCACATATATGTTTATTACTTGCTTCTAAGGGCCTTTCTAGACACTGGTTTCTGGCTCTTCTGACATATGGTGCTGAAAGAAATGGTGGTATACTTTGGAATAACACCAAAGCTAAATGTTACAGCAGCAGAGAGGCTGCAGTGCCACACACAAAAAACAGGTGTAGCCAGGGATTACTGACTGTTGTTAGGAAAACACCCAAATAGGCCAGGTGTGGTGGTTCACGTATGTAATCCTAGCACTTTGGGAGGCCAAGGCTGGTGGATCACTTGAAATCATGAGTTTTGAGACCACCCTGGCCAACATGGTGAAACTCCATGTCTACTAAAACAAAACAAAACAAGCCAGGTGTGGTAGCACACACCCGTATTCCCAGCTACTTAGGAGGCTGAGGTGAGAGAACTGCTGGAACCCAGGAAGCAGAGGTTGCAGTGAGCCAAAATCATGCCACTGAACTTCACTCTGGGAGGCAGAGCAAGACTTTGTCTGCCTGCCCGCCGCCCCTCCCCCCGCCAAAAAAAAGAAACTTTTTTAGCTAAAAAATAAACCCAAAATGGTAGACAAGACACATTCTAGGAAAACGTTTCAGAGACTTCCAGAATCTCTAACCAAGACAATTGTTGAAATTATGCCACCACAAAGCTTTTTTTTAATGTCCAAATTCCAATCAAAGATTACAATGTATACAAAATAGGATAATATGGTTTTATCAAAAATATAACAGCTTCAGATGCCATAAAAATGTACATTAATTTTAAAAATTGAAAATAGGCCGGGCGCGGTGGCTCAAGCCTGTAATCCCAGCACTTTGGGAGGCCGAGGTGGGTTGATCACAAAGTCAACAGATCGAGACCATCCTGGTCGACACGGAGAAACCCTGTCTCTACTAAAAATACAAAAAATCAGCTGGGCATGGTGGCGCATGCCTGTAATCCCAGCTACTCGGGAGGCTGAGGCAGGAGAATTGCCTGAACCCAGGAGGCGGAGGTTGC